CGGCCAACACAAACTAATATTAGGACAGGAAGAGGTGAAAGTCTAATTACCTCCTTATTAATACGTTGCATAGAAGTATGATCCGTTCATTAGGCAAAAGGGAAGTCAAAACACCAGCAACAGCGTTAGAATTGTTTTTCTTCATCTGCTCTAGTGTAACATCATTCTCATCCATAACCCGTCCAGTGAAACTTGGTTTGTATTCTTTACATTCGAATACACTTTTTACCAGTACCATACATTTAATCAGGAATTGTGCAAAGGACAATATATCTGGCTCAGGATCCGTAATCTTATTTAAACAGAAATTGAGGAGAGGTTGAAGAACACATTTATCACCAAATGAATAAGGATGCCTTTGTTGAATTGCAACTAAAACCTTCATCAATTTAATACATGCCTTCTTTATAAAATCCCATAATTTAGGATGCCTATTCTGAAAAGATGTATCTGTAACATAAGGTGACACATACAAATAAATTAATGAAACAAAATCTTCTATTAACAAGTATATGAGATGGTTTCAATTTTTTTTTAAAGAATGGGACCAAAAATCTCTTTTCTAGCCAATATAATATCAATTTTTCACGAACAGAAAATGGTAGTTTCTCCACAAACACAATGGAATAAAATAGATTCCCATTTCAGACCATGTAAACCCATTTTCTTCATATATATTCCAGAGGGCAGAAAATTGTAGAAATTAGAGCACACCATAGAATTGATTAAGTTTTATATGCAACAAAATCCGGTTGGATAAAGAAAGCAGGAACTATCTTTTAAACATTCTGTACTGATTGCTTATTTTTTGATTAATTGATACGAGTGAACTCTTTTGACTGGACATGCTTATTGCATCTTTTAGGAGAACAGGCAAATATTTAATACAGATAAATCTGGTTTTTGGACATACGGAACCAAACATCAAGAACAGGCTATCTTACAGTATGAAAGGAGTGATTGAGCAGCATTCAAAAGCACAGGAGAAACCTCTTTGACTGGTCTTATCTCCTGCACAACAAAGCATTTAAATCATATACTCTCATTCCAAAGTGCCTGAGAGGAGGATAAATAATAAAATGCCAATTGATTTGACTCTAAAATATACAAAATTTCCTAAACGGAAAGAGAGAGAAGGAATAAGTACCTGAAAACATTTTGCATCACTTTGAAACCCTGAAATGACTAATTGACATATTATCTTCAGACAAAACAGCCATCTTTCACATGTTAGATAAAGGTCATCATGATGCTGCTCCACAGCACTTGAATTATAGTTCTGAATGATAGTAGAAAAACCCTGTAATATTGTTTGTATATCCCTTTGCCAAAGATGCCAGCAATACTCAAATAAATGGGAGGATATCTGCCAAGAAAGTTTTAAGTCAGACTCTTCCTGTCTAAGGAACAGAACTGCAATTTTTGCAAAAATAGTGGTTTGATCCTAAAATGAGTAGATTTTAATTTCTAAGATAAGATGGAGCACGGAAATGAAGTACTAATAAACCAGAATGAAGAAGCCACTAATTGCAGTGCTAAATGTATATACTCGCATTAGCATTAAACTTTTAAAGTGCTTCTCAAATCAGCGCTATCCAAATCTACCCAACCCGTAAGGGTAACATCCACCTTCATTAAGATAAGAGGAGGGGGCTAGAAAAACAGGACGACCAACATGACCTCAACTAGGGGGAACTTACGGAAGGAAGATGTTTCAGTAACAACGTACCTCTGCAAAATTCCTTTGGTCTGCAGTAAGACGTTTTGTGGATAATTCCTTCAAAGTTCTAAAGAGAATCATAAAAATCCTGTGTGAGGTAAGAACATCGGCTGATTGAAGCTGCTGAGCTAGAAAAGAAAACAGCTCTGGCCTAAAATCATTATACCAACGAATCAAAAATATTATTAACTACAAAAAGAATCCTTTAAGAAATCCCGTAATGCAGGGAGAAACAAAAACATATTCTAGCTCAATTAAGCTGGGAAGCATGTTAACAAATATAAGTGCGTCCAACAAGTCAAGATATATACCATTCCCTGGGATAATCGAAACGAGCAATTTTGGAAATGAGGACTGCCAGCATTTGAGCTATCTGTATCAGAAAAGATGCAAAAGATAGAGATATTAAAGACTGTAAACTCAAAGGAAATTACAGGCCACCAGGAACATATACCAGAAGCAAATAGTAGGTAACTTAAATCCAATCAAATCATAATACAACTAAGTCCTAGCCTCCACGGTCTAGTTCCATTATGCAATAACATAAATTCTTTACCAATAAATAGGTGAAAACTTGGGAGGAATACCTGATAATTCTCTTCTCTTAAGTGTGATAACAATTTTTCCTTTAAATGTAGTTTCTCTTTGCTGCTTATCCCCCTGAATAAAACATTCTAGGTCATTAAGGAAACATATTATATGTACTTATTTCAAGAGAGAAAATAAATAAAAATAGTTAAACACTCCTTATCAGCTTGTAGAGCAGCGTTTGCTACTAAAAGAAGTAGAATGCAGTTTTCAGGAGTTAAATTGAAAAGTGGATCCTAAATTTGAAGTTTGAACTCATGTGAATCAAATGCATGAAAGAATAAATCATAACTTACGAGGAATCGCGTCTCTTTTTCCAATACCGATTAATACTGTTTTTGAAATACACAGAGGCCATTAACCGAATATCCACTTGAGATACTAAATCTTTCGCTGTAATCACTTCCTGAAATAACACAGAAGAACAAAATTGCAACTTAAACGAGTGTAGATTTCAAATGCATTTTACAGAAAATGAAAAACAAGGATTAGAAAAAAAGGTAAATAAGTACCATGAGGCAAGAGCAGTAACCAGGCCTGCTTTCGGATTGAGAGAGTGCCACCTCGGCCGGTTTGCGAACGGTCTCGTCTTGGCTCATTGAGTTGACAAGCAACGTGTATAAGGCAGGCAAATCAGAGGCCGAGAGCGCCATCAGTAACTCTTAACAATTTCCCTCTAGTCTTTTAACTATGAGAAACACAACCTGAGCCGAGTTAGCGAGTTGGATCGGCGAATCGTGAGATTTAAGATAAAAGCTTCTGGTGCGGCGAGTTCAGCTTGGGCATCAGATGGATTGACGGAAGTGAGGTTCTTAACGGTGTCGTTTTTGTGCTTCTTTAATTGACGACGGAAATGGCTGGAATTATGTAGGGGCCGACACAGCAAAAGAGTGATCGAGACGGTGTTGGTCGTCTATATGGGATGGCCTTCGTTCTGGCAGCGATGCTAATGTAGGTTTCGTTAGTAAATTCGCCTCCTAAATCTTGATTTTATTTTTTTTCTTTTTAATGGCTTATTTGAAAAATAAATACTCAAATTATATTTATTTTAAACTTTTATTTTTTTATCAAAATATATAAAATATTATCAGTGCTCATTTTCAAGTCTGATTCGTTAAATAAAATTTTGATTTTATTTTTATTTAAACATTTAACTTTTATATTTAAATATATATCCAAATTTTTATTTTTATTTATTTTTAAGTTACATTTGTGGAAAAATGACTAAACCATGTTTTTTTTAGATATCTTAGACTGTAAGACATATTTTGATTTAAAAAAATTGGACACTCAATAACAAAGTACATAAATACTTATTAAATTATTCCAATACGAATTATTCGAGTACTAATCTTTCGAAAAACTATAATATTTTATATTAAATTTAAAATTTTGTTATAAACGAATATTGTATTATTGTTAAATATCGCTAATATCATTAACCTCGGGCTCGTTGAGCTTATCCACTTAAGCTAAAAATTGTAAATATAATTTCTCCTTTTTTTCACGTAATATCAATAATATATAATATAAACCATTAGTAGTGTATAACAAAATCCTTTGACTCTTTAACGATGAAACTGTAAGCTCTTAATTTATTCTTCATTTCAACAGCAGTAGCACGATAAAGAAGAAAACAGTGGAGAAAAGAGAAATAATAGAAGATCTAAATTGTGGGATTGCCAATAAAAATAAACTGGCTTGGATAGAAGGAAATTGAGAAGGAAGATTATTTAACGGCGAAAACCATGCTTCCATTAAGCATACAATTTTATATGTGGATCAGATCAAATCGAATACCCATTTTGACATAAAAATCGTATTATATTCGTATTGACTAGAATCATCCCAAATTCAGATCGGATCGAATGCAAGTAAAAAAACTTAATTTTCAAATCAAATTCGAGTGGACCAAAAATCCAACACTACCTCTAAATAAAAAAAAACAATTATAGTCGACAAGTTCTGTTAAATTAAATATAATTAAAACATTCAAATTATATTTTTTAAATTTTTTTAACTCCATTAGCATTGTATAGACTGTAGAAAGACGGATTCAATTATTAAATATAAAATTTTTTAGTTTTACATATATTGAATACTATTAAATAAGTGAAAATAGACAACAAAAATAAAAAGATATTCAATAAAAAACAATGGATTAATCTTAACTGTAGTGAGCCATGTTATATCTGTTTAAAACTAAAAACAATAAAAAAAAATATAATGCATAAGTGTATCTTAACTCATATGAAGATAGTACTCAATTACACTATAAATTTCGATTTTCAATAATCAAATTATATAAAAAAAAATTGTGAAAATTTTACTATATGTAAACAGATCCTAACTCATTCAATGATTTTGAATTGATGTATGACATTTTAGTTTTTATACTGGATTGACACTACCCATATATACTCCATTAAGCATATTGTAATTACTAAATATTTTTAATCACCAAAGCAAAGGCATAAGTAAAGAGTTTTAATTTGATTAAAAAAAACTATTCACTGTTCCCGCCAATGAAACATCCACGGCAGGATTAGCACTGAATTGAAAGACAATAGAAACAAAAACAGAGCATGAATCTAAAAATAAAAATGGCAGACAACTTAACCCTGAAAGCACGCCAAAACCAGCTAATAAGACGTTGAGAAACCTCGTAGAACGAGGCAGATCGTTCGACCTACTTGGATCTCTGTCTCATCTTTCGGCGCTTCCTCTTCAGCCTCCTCATGCGCTTCTTCTTCCACTGTTTACAAACCACGCGAGATGCCAAGAACGAAATAAGAATTCAAAGATCCATTGTAAAATATAAAAACTAATTGAATAAAAAAGAGAAGAGTTCATTTAATGTCTTTCATGAAGTACCTTGGCTCTCATGGTGAAAGGAAACTTGCTGCCTCCTTTTTCTGGCTTTTACTCGTTGAACCCTAACCGGATAAGCAACGGCGGCAAGAAATGGCCGGTGGAGAATTTATCTCCACCATTATATATAACCTATTAAGCCCTAGTAGGAGGTCAGTATAACCTGATCCAGATTCAACAATGTTGAGTTATTCTTTACAAACGGCCCAATTTGAACAAAAAAAATAAAATGATATATCACATACCAATGAACTTTTTAGGCGTGTATCAATTATATTATTAAATTTATCATTTTTAATTATAATATTGAATTTTGATTTTAACTTCAATTGTGTTATTGGGTTGTTAAATTCAAATGGTATGATGGCATGGATAAAATGACGTTGTTTTGATGCGAGTATTGATACCTAAAATGAAGTTTTAGACATTAAATTTTATCACAAACCCTAGTGATCTCGATGGTAAAGGAATTGTTTTTATTCATTGAGATCCCGAGTTCGAGCATCAGGAATGTTAGATGTATAAGCGTCTAATATAAAAAGGTTAAGAATTGTCTTTGAACAGACATTACCTTGTACTTACCCCAGATTAATAAAAAAAACTTTAGATGTATATTGATTTTGCTACTAAAAATTTAAATAGTTATATTTTTGCATTTACTTTTTTCAACAGTATGACAATAGTCAATCATTGTTCTTCTCTGGTCATTTTTTCGATAAAATCATTATTAAAACGTTCGTATTTCACTAATCTTTCTTCTCTTAGAATTGATTTTACACAAAACTCATTCAAAATCGATAAAGACTTGTTTAAAAGTTTGATGTTTTAAAACTATGATCTCTTCCAATAACCTTCCTCTCTTTCAATAATGTTCAAATAATGTTGTAGATGATATGTTTGAACTCAAAACCTTTAAGAATAACAATGATTCCGTCAACCATTAAAGTCGATTGGTTCGTATTATTTGTTTTTGTGTGTGCATATTTTTTTATAACAGTGGAGGGAATGTTTGAGCCTCTTCGTATTCAAATTAAGGTACTACAACCTTGAGCCCACTAATTTTGAATTAATTACCGGTATGCGATCTATTGATTGATTAATTCAAATTAGGTTTTACAGTTTACTTAATAAATATAATATATCATCTTATTAAACTAATTTATTGTTGGTTTGGAGCCCATTAATTTTGGACAAAACCCATAGTTCATCCACTTAGTAATAAATAAATGCATCTGCAGCGTGCAGGAGTCAATGAAGATGAAGCTCCAAGCTGAAAGGGTTGCATATACGAAGCTTAGTTGTCCAACTGGCGGGTGAGGCTAAACAACAGGAAGAAGAAGACGATACACAAATAAACCAAGGGTTAATGTCATTCCTCTTCCGGGAACTCTCAAATCAATTATACTGTATATATGAGTGCTTGGAACTCAGTGCACCGGGATCAACTCAATCATCTGAACCGGTCGAAGAGTTCCTTGAACTTTGGGTTTGAGTTTGATAGTCGAACCTATAATGTTTTACTTTAGGATAAATTTTATATTTCTTAAGCATATTAAAAGGAACAAAATCACAATTTGATCGATGAGCACACACAAAAGGAGGAAAGAAATGGACCATGCTTGTTTTCAAATGGGTCCTTGTTCAAATCATCTTTCGTACACGTTTCCTTCTTTACTCAAAAAATCTGAAGCAGCAGTTAACCCAGTGGCCACAATAACAAGTTAAAATCGTATCCCTCTCGGTAACATAAGAAAGACAGTAAATCAGACAGGACATCATCGTCGTCGTCATCATGATCCCATACTCCAGTTAAGTAACCTTTTTTTTTGCTTTCAATCAAATGGCAAATCCAAAGGTTACCGGCTTCTGTCCCAACACACTGTACAACTTCTTATGGTTTTATCTTTTGATATGGTTTTGTTTAACCAGTCCAGTCAAACGCGTGACTGATGTATTTTGACATGGGGAAAAAGCTGGGTGTTTCAATCCGACAAGTAAGAATTATTAGGGTTCTAACCACTCCCCCAACGCGAAAACCGGGAACTCACATGCGCTGTTGCTTGCCTTTGTCTATCTTTTTTCCCTGGCTTTATCATTCAAATTTTCTTTTGTTGTGTTTCGATGAAGTTTCTGTTTCTTCATTTATGACTGGTGTGTAATTGTAAGCATCTCCGGTGCAAGTAATGACCAGTTGGAACCGGGAAGTGCAAACGAAACTGGATGCTTGGGAAGGTTTCGTTTGTTTAATGTTTAACCAGCCATCAGATGAGAGTTAGGGTGTCATGCTGGTGTTAGAGAGAAGTATCAAAGTTGATTTTTTTTTTCATATTTTTATGTCAAGGTCATGGAGTTTAACATGACGTCTTTACTACGATGTCTGCTAACATTTAGGTATGTGATTGTTATATATAGTTTACTTTTTCTGATTTGGATGTAGAGTTATAGTTGATATGTTAAAATGAATATATAGTATCTTTCAAAAATTTGGTCTAATAATATTTTAAATCATATTAATACAAATTTAAGTAAAATTAGATTTGTTTCTTTCTATTTTTTTAGATTAAATATATGTGTTAAATCTTTATTATTTTAAGTTTAAATACATTACCCCTCTCAATATTTGATCTTAACTTTATTCATGTCGATAAGTCTTCGATTAATGATCCTAGTGTATACAAAAAAAAATTTTGGAGGAAGAAATATTATTTTTAGTTTTGGTTTGGTATAATGACCCTAGTGTCTCTGTGAAACCTATGATCATGATATCTATTCGTAAGCTAACAGACGCAATAAACATGATCGAATGATAATAAATTTAATTCTTACAAATAACGTAGATATGTTAGAGATGAATTGTGATTTCTTAAAATGTATAGTCTCTTTAAACCTTATGTCTAAAAATATTATCTCAAAATCTCAATTATAGAACAATTCACCAAAAATTTTAATATACAAAAAGAAATATATATATATATATATATATATATATATATTGAGTGATAAAAGAGTAGGTTTTCTTTTAATTTCTTCCCTTTTCGAGCTCTTTCATCAAGAATGTTTAAGGCCTTTAGCCCAGTTATATACTTTTGGTGTATCATTCAATTTGGTGATATATATTGATTATGTATATTAGGGTTTTAAATTACAATTGTGATCGTATTATGTTTATTTAAATACGAATATAATAAATATTATTGTGTTCATTATGAGTATCACGATTGTATAATAATAATTTTAGATAGTATCAAAATCATTTAATGATCGCTATTTTGATAATAGACCGTTATTTAAATCCCGATAAAAACTGCAGCCCAAAGGATTCTATTTGAACTGTATCTCCCGAACCATGTGGTTTCCATGGAAGGTTTTGGTTACTGGGATGAAACAACTTTCCGGGAGAATTCCCTTGAAAAGAAGAGCTGAGCATGAAAATGACTGGCCGCTACCTATCTTTTCTTTTCTACTAAAAGAGGACCAGAGAGTCATTGAGGGGAAAAGAAAAAAAAACATGAACAGTTGTTTTCTTTCAGCAAACATTGAGTAACCTTAGGAAAAAGCCATGATTCATACAACTTCTTTTGGTTATTGGATTTAGATTTTAGGCACATCTACGACCATGATACATCCATTTCAGATTTCAGACAAGGGGTCCCCCCGGACCCCGGCTCCCTTGGGCCTTGTCCACCACCTGACCCTCATCGTATGCGAAACCATTAAATCTTTTTGGCGTAATATATCTTCTTCTCCACCTTCTTTACCCAAGTTTTCAGTCTGGTCCTTATAAAACTTTTGAGTTTATTAATCTACTATATATAACCTTTAAAATATAAATTCACTTAACTTTTAGTTAATTTTGTTTTGCATTTTTTATTTTTTTACATTTTTAGAATTTTTTATTACGTGTGATATATTTTGATTGGGTCGCATATTTTTTCATAGAAAACCTTTTTTTTAATTTAGGGTGATTACAAGATAGAATTTTTTCAAAAGATTAAATTATTTGACAATAAACGCTCAAATATCTCTGCAGACATTATGATCAAGCTCGAAAGTTCTATAGATAACAACTCTTTCAACACTGAAATCACGAAAAACTTTAAATGATACTACGATAGTATAAAGTTAAATTGAGGGAAAATTACTATATGGACCAAACTGAAAATTTAGGTAAATCACAGGTAAGAAGATATGTTAAGCCATTTTTAAGTGAAATCGGTTAGATAGAAAAAGTTGTGGGGGGGGGGGGGGTTCCTAGCTTGTTGGGTCAGGTATCCAGTAGAGTCTAATATGCAAACAAAGGCAGTAAGAAGCTAGGGCAAAGGCGAAGCAAATACCTTTCGCGTAGGTGGCTTTCCATGCTGGCTCTAGGCACCCATGGCGTTAAACAAACACCCGTATCCTGCGCCATAGATCGGCTGACCCACATGACCACAATTTTTCACATATTTTTTCTCCATTCAAATCAAACCACGTGCATTATTTAATTTAATTTAGATAAAATACAAAAAAATCTCTATTATTTATTAAATAATTATTGTAATACTTATTTTATTTTAAGATAACATAATTTATGATTAAATGAAAACTATTAACTAATTAACGATGAATGCTCTTCGTTGATATAGTAAAATCTGTGTTAAAATTGTTGACATTACATGTCACATGTAAGTGAATGATAACGTGATACGTGTCATGTGTCCAAACTGAACATATGACATGTTAAAATTGATAATGTGATAAGTGTTACATCATTACTTTAGATATATACATATTACTACATTAGTGTTGCCCCTAATAAATTAACTTTTTTTCATCTAATTATAACTCACTTTTTCTTAAAATAAAATATTTAAAATTATAATATTAAAAAATCAAAATAATTATTTAATTAAACATGAAAAGATTTTATGCCTTTAATTTACTCGCTCTATTCATATACATATATATATATGACGAATCAAGGCCCCTACCCAATCTTTCAAGCCCGTATTGAGTTACAAGCGGTGCTGCTGTAGTTCTGCTAATGGATTACTTTCCCTCTGCTACGAACTTCAGCTCATCATTCATTGATGGGTCTTCTTCTTATTCTTTGGCAACCAGCAGCAAAGAGAAGAGGATCAAGGGTGGCAAGAAGGGAAAAGGAGCCGTGAAGCTATCGACCGATCCGCAAAGCGTGGCGGCTAGAGAGAGGAGGCACCGTATCAGCGACCGGTTCAAGATCTTGCAGAGCATGGTCCCTGGTGGGACGAAGATGGACACCGTCTCGATGCTAGATGAAGCTATACATTATGTAAAGTTCCTCAAGACTCAGATATGGCTTCATCAAGCCATGATCAACTTAGTCGACGATGAGTATTACTCGTCTCTCTTCGTTCCCGGATCTTTCCCGGTCGAAGGAAATGTTTACCCATCGTTAAACCCTAGTGATCTAAACCCTGCTGCAGCAGCAATGCAGCAATCACAGGTGCTGCCATTGCCGGATTCTTGCTTCCAGGGTCAACACCAACAAAACATGCCTTATGATGTGTTCATGAATCATCAATAATAATCTGATCATCTCGTTTTAATGTTGTGTCAAAGATCGTGCTCTATATATATATGAATCATGATTAAATATTGTAACAAAGTCTAATGCTGTAGCTTGTACCGATCAAGGAAGGAATTTGCAGGTAGTCATAATCTGTTCTTGAGTGAACTTTCAATATCTAGTGTACTTCTCGGCTGTAACTAATTGATATTTTTAAATTCTCCTATATTTTAATTTTTTAATCTATTTTTTAAATATTAATAACTTATTTTTATTCTAAAAATTTTATAAATCCATCCTCCTAACTTCAAATTCTACAATAATCCATGCTTATCGGATTCGATGATAAAGTACAAACGCATGAACGCGCATTTCATATTCTCAAACACTATCATATAAGAAAAAGAAGGAAAAGTTGACATGCACGTACTCAAATCTCAGTTTTAGCAATGATTGCTACACATATTTCGTGTATATATATATATACATATATATTGTTGTATTTCTTTCGATCTTATGTGCAACTTATATTTATATTGTTATTTTTCTATTTATTTAATCTTAAAACCTCAATATTTTCGAAAATATCCTTTAATAAATTATAATTATTAACAATGGCGGATTTAAGGGTATTATAAAATAGGTAGATGTCCACTCTAAAATCTGAAATTATTTACGTTAGTTTATCATTTTACTCATAATGTTCAATCTAAAATTTATGTGTCTATCAAATACAAAAAAAATTATGTTATTAATAGATATGTGGTCAGCCTAAAAATACCTCTGGATCTGTCACTGTCTATTGACATAACTACTAACAAATCACATATCTACCAAAGATAAATCTACTATATGATAATTTTTTTTAAAAAAGTGTACCTTGTATTAATGTAATTACAAAGTACACCACCCTAAAGACCTCATTAAAAAACCTCCCTAAACCTAATCGGAGGAAAAAGAGTGCACCTTAGGGTGGAACTAGACGAAATGCAGAATAGTCTATAATATATTCAGTGAACACCATAAAATAGGCCAGACCACACCCCTACAAATTTGACTCCTAACCAAACATTACGAACATACACCAACTTTCACTAAAACCAAAAACAACACTGGAATAATAAAACATGATCAAACAACAACATACAGACTCAACTCAGAAGCACTAACAGTAAAAAACCAACCTAAGCTAAAACTCACAACGCTAATTCACAATACCAGAGCTCACAATCATCATACACCACGAACGATAGCTTTCAGATTACGAACAAAGTCATTCACTAATGGAATCAACAACGACCATAAATAATTCACCCAAACCCCTATCTGGAGCAATGCTTTATAAAATATCTGATCTACCGACAAAGAAATTCCATTAAATCTGGTTTATTTATGCAAATCCATATTACCCAAATCATACCAAAAAAACCAATTTTCCATAGAGCTCGAACTCTCCTCCTTATTCTTTGTGAAAACCATGCCTCTAAGAATTATTTTACATTATTAGGGAACACCAATTTTACTTTCCACACGCTACACCAACGTTGCCAAACTTTCGAAACTAAATCACAATGACATAGAACATGATTAATTGCTTCCGGCTCACTTTTACAAAACAGACAGCAAGACTGATCATTGCAATTGACTCCTCTCTTTTCCAGGTCTAACATGACCGTCAATCTATGATGAACTACTTTCCACACAAAAGCGGATACCTTAGGAGGTGCAAATTTAAACTAAACCAATCTCCAAATTGGGTCTTCCATCTTACCATCGCAAGCCACTTTTAAACAAAATGATTTCAGATTATAGCTATCATCCTGCGCACCAGACCAAACTAATCTATCAAGACCTTGTTCTACACTGACCGCTCTGTTCAAAACATGCCTGAATTCACTCCAAATTGGCTTTTCCCATTCGGAAAATGCTATTATCAGCTCAATCCTCCATTCCCATACTCTGTGAACCCAACACCCAAACTCCTTGATCTTTTCGCATTTTTTACAGCTAAACCATATATTCTCGAAAAAGAATTTTTTAGGGAAACCTTTTCTGTCCAATAATCAGTCCAAAAATCAATATTATTTCCATTTCCCATTACACACCTCAATTCAGCAAGAAAATCCGACTCATTAGACCCAGTCAGATTGACAATATTACGTCACACCCTAGAAGATTTTTTATTTTTTTACAGCTTTTGGAATGATCGAATCCTTATCATAGTTATACTTAGCTACAACTATCTTCCTCCATAAACTATCATTTCCACACTAAACCTCCAAATCCATTTATTAAGTAAGGCACGATTCCTAGTTTTAACATAAAAAATTCCCACCCCTATGTGATTTCGGTCTATATATGCTACCCCACTTAATTTAGTGAATACTCATATCCGACTTAGAATTCCAAACAAAGTTCGTTATGAATCTATTAATCATATCAGTTATGGACTTGGGAATTGAGAAAATAAACATGTAATACACAGGTAAATTAACTAAAATAGATTTAATCAGTGTTAACCTTCCTCCAAATAAGAGCAATTTACCTTTCCAACTTTGAAGACGATTTCTAACTTTGTCCAAAATGGGCTACCAACGAGACTTTGAATTCTTCTGCTGCCCTAACGGTAGACCCAAGTACGTCGACGGAAGCTATGCCCATCCATAATGAATCGATTTTGCCCAACTCCTAACTCTTCTTTCTTCCACATTAATGCCGAATAACTTAGTTTTTTTCATGTTAAGCTTCAAACCATCACCCACTTCGAAGATTTTTAGTACCCGATTGAAATTTAAAATCGACGTCGCTTTTGATTCGGAAAAAATGAGCAGGTCATCTGCAAATTGGATATGCGATAAAACAATGCCTCCAAACCCTACTTCAACCCCACAACAAAGACCAAAGTTCATCTCCTTCTTTATCATACCACTGAGAGCCTCGCCAACAATATTAAAAAGTAGCGGCGACAACAGACAACCTTGTCTTAGTCCCCTCTTGATTAGGAAACTGTTAGACGGACACCCATTAACTAAGACAACAATCGTAGGAGTTTAAATACAAAAATTTACACATTTTCTCCATCTTCTACATAAACCCATTTTCTTTAGAATCATATTCAAAAAATGCCAATCAATTGTATCGTAGGCTTTGCTAAAATCTGCCTTAATCAACACTGTTTCTTTCTTACTTTTTGTCAACACATCAATGACTTCATTGGCAATCAAAATACAATCAGCTATCTGTTTACCAGTAATAAAAGCGAACTGGTTCTCTCCAATCACTTCAGTGAGAGACATACCTATCCTCCTCGCCAATACACAAGATACAATCTTGTATATACTACCCACTAAGAAAATAGGTATGAACTCGTCAGGAGTACTTGCCTCTGCTTTCTTCGAAAAAAGCGTAATGAAAGATTTATTAAAAGAAATGTCTTATACTCTGCCCCAGTAAAACTCCTCCATAAACTTTATAACTTCGCCTTTAATATGCTTCCAGAATCTCTAAAGAATTTGTAACATCCCAAATCAGGGCTAGTGACTAAAATGCAAAATTTGGAAACTTTGTGTTTAATTTTGAAATAAGTTAAAAGTTCATGGTCTTAATTGGAAATATTTTGTGAAGGATAGTTTAGTAAAAATTGAAAGAAAGAAGGGTAAAATGGTTATTTGACAAGAAAGATTTTTATCTTTATTTTATAAGATATATAACATATGGGAAATGAGAGAAATTCTCCAGAGTCTTCTTCAGTTTCTTCTTTCTCTCCACCACCGTGGGTTCTTGCATAAGGTAAGTTGGTCTCTAGTGAAGATTTTCTTTCGTTTTAAAGTTGGATTTTATTCTTGTGATAGTAAGAAATCTTAAGTAAAACTTAAGGTACATTAAAACTCTAAGATAATTAAGTTAGAAAAGATTAACGATGATATGGTTATAAGTGAAATCTTGGATTTGAGTTAGTAATTGAAGTTGGAAGTGAATTTTTTTTTCATTAGTCATAATAAGAAATTCAAAGTATTAAAAACGAATTTAGAACATGTTGATAATTTGGTATGATTCTTGAATTTCATGTAGAGGATAGAATTTTGAAGGAAAAGATGTGTTAAATGGGTACAAAATGGATTTAAGTGTGTATATCTGAGTTAAGAATATGAATGGGGTTAAAGTATGAAAGGTTTGGGTGAATAAGAGTGAATTTTCATGCTTAAAATTGAGTTCTGGGCAAGGGTGTATCGGTGCCCATTCAACAGGTACCGATACCTCAAGAGAAAAATTCAGAAAAATATTCAAAAGGTACTGATACCTTAAGGAGTGTATCGATACCCCCTTGAAACGAAAATTTCAAATGTAATTTGGGTATCGATACACAGGAAGTGTACCGATACCTCAGTGAGGGATGTATCAATACCCTATATAGTGTATCAATACCTACGTTAAACAAGGAATGAAATTAGCCTTTTCTTTTTTAGAAATACTGATTATATATAAATGTATAATTATGTATACATCGAGCGTAAGCAAGTTCCGGAATGACTGGAAGATTAGAATTGATCAAGAAGAGAAAGTACTCCATATGAGTAATTGATAACAAGTGAGGCACAAGTAGTGCTAGTTATTATGTATAAGATGCTTTATGGAAATAAGACTTATGATGAGTCTATTTCCCCTATTAGATTATATGAGTTCATAAATGCAATTGTTGTATTGATATGATTTCTTTGTGGATATGAACACATGCATATGTTTATAGGTTAAGTATACGAATATTAGTCATGAGAATACATGTTTATATGATACATGTTAAGTATCCATGATTTATGTGAACACATGATATTATGATATAAGTGAAGTTATGTGATACTAGATTATGAAATTGTATGAAAAGGGTTATATGAGCATGTAAGATAAGTTATCAGTTCATGAATCATATAAATTAGTATAATGGTCTTTTGTATTAAAGGAAAAGTGAGAGAAGCTAATTAACATTTGATCTTTCTGATAATAGGAGATTATAGAATAAGTCATGTAATTATATGATCATAAGAGGTAAGCCTATGATAAGATAATGTAATAAATAAGAATGTAATAGAAGTTATGTATAAGTGATGAGTTATACAAATATAAATCATAAAATAATGAATCATGAGACTATATGAGAATAGTATATAAATTAGAGGACATGAACGTAAATGATAATACAAAATTATAGGATAAGCCTTATAGGAAATTGTATATACTTAAAGTAAATTATGATATAGGAATTATCGAATGAAGAACTATAAAATTCTATGAGAAGGTTAAAGGTGTTATATAATTTCAACAGAGAAATTAACATAAGAAAGTGAACTAAGATCAAGGATATTATAAGATACATGTGAATAAGATATGGTAATGATATACATGTCCTATGAACACAAGAGAAGTGTTATAAGATAAGTGACATATGATTATGAAATCATATGAAAAGTGAAATGTACACGTGAATATGTGAAATGATATAAAAGAGAATGCCCATGTTAAGTGTCAGGAGAGCTAGAGGTATAGTTGGCATGCCTAGAGTCGAGGGTTACCTATGTCTTTCGAGACATATGGATATTTTACCTATGTCTTTCGGGACATATGGACATGATTACCTATGTCTTTCGGGACATATGGACAATTACGTATGTTCTTCGAAACGTATGGATAGGTCCTTCAGGACATATTTCACATGCCACTCAGTGGACCTTTATGTGACCTGTGGTGATAGCATATGTGCACAACTTCAATGTACTCGCATATCTTTAGTTCTCACATGTGTACATGGGCTAATAAAGAGACAATTTTGAATACAATGTATCTAATATATATATATATATATATGATGTATGATATGAATTATATGACATGATATATGTGTGTTATGGTTATTGCATCTGTTACATGATATACATGAATATATGTTAATGTATATGTTAATAAGTATAAATGGCTTATATGATGATCTGTATGTGTATATGTATGTAATTGTTATATGAAAAAGTATATGAGTGGTATGATATTATGGCATAAAATATTCATGCATAGTAGTGGATATAAATTTCATTGGATGTGTTTTTATGCCTCACTAAGTCATAGACTTGGCGTGTGATTGTTTTATATGTAGGTTCCGAAAATCGAGAAGAGAAGCTGAGAAGAGCGAGACAGGTCAATCACTTTTTTACGAAATTCAGATCAGAAAAGAATTTTTAATCATGGGGTCCTTGTTATATTTAGTTGGCATGTCCTTGTTATATTTAGTGTGCATGTACTAAAAGAATTAAGTCGAATATGCTCTGAAATGTTTATAAAACCAACTGATTGTTTTTAATTAAAGTAGTCATTTTCTTGAATTAAGAACTTAAATTTTAGCCATTTTTGTAAAGAAAATGTTTTGAAAATTCAATGTGACACCTCAGACTCGTATCCGGGTCGGGTACGAGTTGGGGGTGTTATAGAAGTCCAAATTGAAATCGTCTGGTCCTGGCGTTCTTGATTCATCGGATGACTTAATTATAAACCAAACCTCCTCTTCCTTAAAAGGACTCTCAATTATCCTTCTGGTGGCATCATTTATTCTCTTGAGGGAGATATCAAATATCTTTAGAGGAATTGTTTTCACCTCGTTATAGCCTGCACGAAAATAGTTAACAAACGCTTGTTGAATTCTAACATGATTCTTGTAAACCGAATTATGAACCTTCAGCTTAGTAATCTGATTTTTTTGACCCCTTGATACGACTGAGAGATGGAAAAATTTCGTATTTTTATCGCCCTCTTTAAACAACCTAAGCCTAGATTTCTGTAACCATTCTCGTTCTTCATTCCTTAAAGCAACCCACAATCTTGCCTTCAACAATGTAATCTCCGACTGAATTTGAATATTACTAGTATCCGATAGCTATATATCTTCTAACGAATCAATCTTTTTACCAATCTCTTCAGTAGAATCAATGTTCTTCTCTCTGACTGCTCTCTCTCTATCATTGGTCGCAATTTTTTCCAGCGGCAAAATTTTGTTCAGACCTTTACCTTTGTTAACTTCACATAAATCTCTGATTCTTTTGGCCAAAATAGGGTAATTCGTCTAATAATTAAACCATTTAAAATGTCTAATGAACTTGTTTGATATGTTCTCTTTCAGTACAATCGGTTTGTGATTAGATAATCTCCTAGAAAGTGAACATTACACCAATTGGGGAAACATACTAAAAATTTCAGTTGATATAAAAAATTTGTCGAGTCTACTCGCTACCACATTACCACCTCCCCTAAACCATGTAAACAGACTACACAGATTTGGCACCTCAATCAACTCACAAGTAGAAATAAATTCTTCAAAAATCCTCATCGCAACCAATTGATCTTGAACCCCTAATCTTTCGAACTCCATCCTAACAATATTAAAAGCTCCCCCCACTATCACAGGAATATTCTAATCAGAAATAACATAATTCAATTGCTCAAAAAAATATCTCCTATCCCCTTGCACATTCGGGCCATAAACGTTAATAATCTCTTTCACCCTGTTGTTTAAAACTAACCTCCTTTTAGGAGCTATCATTCTCCTAAGTACTATTTTACTACTCACATCAAACACATTTTTATCCCACATTGAGATGAGCCCACCCGAAGCCCCTTCAGTAGGCGCAAAGGCTAATTACCTATCAGACTTCCCTTTTAATCTTCTTTGGATATAACCACTAATATCAATGCCTTTGACTCCTACAGCATAACCAAAATAACCTTATTCGATTCAATAACCCTATAAACATCTCTTATCTTTTCAAATTTCCCCAACCCTCGAACATTCCAGGATAGAACAGATAAACTAGATTCCATAAAATTGAAACACGCACATATTTAGACACAACCAATAAACAAAAACATACTCAACACTAACCCATTAACTCGATCGATTCCAATCTCTGTATCACATCTATTCTCGACCCTGAGAACTCTACCCCAAGGCTTCTACAATAACTAGAGACTCATCCACTTCAATAGATACCCTCTTTATGCCATCAGAGTGTTCCCCACCTATGGTTCCATTTTGATTCAAACTACTTCTTATATTATGCCTTTCATCATGTCCATTAAAACCCTATTTTTTCCTTTTCGTATTGATGAATCTCGTGGATGCTTTGAGACTAACCCGATTCGCCCCCATCGAAATTGATTTTGATAAATTATCAACAAATGGGTTAACTGGATCTTTATTCTTCCTCAGAGAATTCCCAATTTTGACTACACGTGTTTCAGCAGAAACCACCTCATCCATTACTTTGAGGGATGACACCTCTTCTTTTGGCACCTATAGAAGCCTTGAACTATTAGAAGTAGTTTGGGTCACCCAAATCAATTATGATTCCCTATTGATTGCCATTAGCCCAAAACTCTCATCAGCAGGCTGCTCGGCTAACCCAATATTAGAAATAATGGGAACTTTATGCATCCCCTCTTCAGAAGCACTCGTGTATTCCATGATGGCTTCTGCATGCAACGTTCTTCCTTCCAAAAGTCCATAATAATTATCACACCTCTGACTTACTGAATCAACCTGTTCCTCTACATTAAGACCTCACTCGAGACCAACACCTGCAACATACTCATCTTCGAAAATTAGAGCATTTGTTTCTTCTTCGTCATCAGCTCGCCACGCTCCACCCCTCACTAGGGTTCCATCGATGAAGGTTCTAGCCTCTTCCTGAACGTCAGTTTGAATTTTTATGGAATAAATACATCATTTGAAGATAATGGAAATTTTTTCTGGAATGGATGATTCGAACTGAACTTCCAGCAACACTCTTGCTACATCAAACCTATCTCGATCAGTATTTTCTTTATCAATAAAAAAAACTCTTCCCCATAAGCTTCCGATATCCTTGAAAAACTTCTCACTCCAAATAGAAAGAGGAACGTCCTTCAGAGAGACCCAGACTTTAACTTTAACTCTATTCTCATATCCTTCCATTAATTCAAGCTCATCAAACCATAACCGAAATACTTCATCTCTTTTTAACCAACATACCTAACGATCATTTTCATTTTTGAATTGAATAATCATCAACATGTCATGCCATATACTAACCTTAACGTCCAAGCCTTCAGCTCTAAAGGTTGTTTGGATAATATTTTCGTTATATCTATTTTTAATTTTACCAACCAAACTGTTTTCTCTCCACGATAACTCCTTATTAGGAATTAGGATATTACTGCTTACAACATCAGGAATTGATGAAGAACTGACCTCGCTGTCATCTGCAACATTTACATGCACAACAACATCAGAACCTCTAGAGTTCCCATCCTGCTGGCCATCTACCTTCTCGTATGGCTTCCCACCTTCTGCCTGCAAACTTCCAAGAACTTCTTTGAATGACCTAGTGTCCCTTAAAGCTGGCTTCCATACCTTTTTAAATCTTCTTCCAACATCTGCCCTTACTTTTACTTTCATGAGATTTGTCATGGAAAACTTTGATCTTAAACCTGTCCATCACCCTACCGTCCGCTCTAAGAACCGTTGTATTTGCTTCAGTTCTGCTTCTGTACCCTACAAACACAAATGTAGATCGAGCATATTATCTTTTTCTACTTCTATACGCATTAAACACATCTATTACATCACCATAGGCCTGAAACACTTCCTTAAGAGTAGAGACGTGAATCCTTTTGCTTATATTATTGACGAAAACTGTGAAACCGGTGAAGAAATGAATAGATCTCTCCACTTCACCATACCTACATGAAGCTCTTGCCATGAAGCTCATAGCGTTTTTTCCACGAAATTAGACAACTAAATCTTTGATCTAATCTACTATATGATAATTATATCTATTTACAATGTCAACCTACATATAACTATTATTATCCTAAGTCTAACAATAAAACTCTCTTTAAGATTCTCTAAATATTTATCTTTTTCAATTCATCTATCAATTATTGTCTATAATTTTTCGTTCAAATTATAAAAAACAAATTATCACGAATTATTACAATCTTATTTTTACCATCAATATATGTATATATATATGAATAGTAACATTAAGAACTTGTCTTAGGTATTTCTTTTGTTAAAGATCAAGCTTTTAACTAAACTATTACTTTTGATTTGTCCGAGATTGTTAATCCTAGGAAGCAGTGTCAAGCTTTGCTCGAGGGTCCGTTCCATTTCCCTTTTTTACTTTTTCTTTTTGGCGTTTTTTTATATATAAGTTCTAATCAATTTTTGTATCTTCTTTCTGAAAAATTGAAAAGAAAAGAAAAGCAGTCAAATTTGAAGAAAGATCTCATGCCAAGTTGCCAACCGGTCATAATTTAAGTTAAAATAAATCCAAATTTTAGAATCCTTTTTAATATATACGCACTCAAAGTTCTAATAAACATGACTTATCAATTTCGAATCATCATTTTCTCATATCATAAATATTTAAGACTCAAATCAAATTTAATCAATTTTTTATATCCCTAACAATAGTAATATAAAATATGTATCAGTCTTTTAATCTCTTATTTAAAATTAAATCAATTTAAAGTCATATTTTATAATTAATTTATGTATACATGGATTTAATTATCGTATTTTAATATTGATCTCTTTACTCTACGAGTTTGTAAATCTCAATTGATGATGGAACTAAGAAGAGACATGTGGGGTGTGGCAAAAAAAATTATAAAGTTTGAGAAATTTTAAATCGAGACAATGGTTTAATAAAAATTAAATTATCATTCATTCATCACTATTCACACAATAATGATTAATGTATTGTAAATTACCATATCATCACAACGTTAAATATTTAAAGGCCATATGATTAAAAGGTAAATTTGAAAAGTCTAGTGTTATAATTGTAATATTTTAAAGTCTAATTAGTAAAAAGTGAAACTAGATCAAAGTTGAGTAAAATACACAACTGATTTATGTACATAATCTTATTGAGCCATTTGATTATTAAAATTTATAAAATATCATTTGATTATATGTCATTATTTTATTGAATCATATGAGTATCAAATGTTATAAAATGATCACTTGATTATTCACATGTTTCAAATTCATTACTTTTTAAACTGGGATATGATAAAATCTAATCTCAGAATCGTTTGAACTATATTTTATGGATTGAATCTCTATTTACACTGTGTCGATAAGTCAATGCTTGAAATATTATGTCGTAAAGTCAATGTTTAAAAAAAACTATAGTGACAACAACATCAATAAATATGATTTTATCATATCTTAACCAATATATTAACATTTATCTTAAAAATTGATGAATTTAAACATATGAATAACTGAATGATCATTTTATATTTTTTAATAATCGATAGACTCAACATAATAATATTATAATAATCTTATATTTGTGTACTTTACCCATGCGTGCCGCGCAAGCTGGCAAAACAGATCTGCTGTGCTGACATTCTTCCCTTTTCTGTTCTCCGACCCCTAAACCCTGCAAATAAACTCGCTAGAATTTTTCATCTCTTTCCCGAAAAACTAAAAGGGTAAGTCGATCTAATGGCCACCGGGCTCGCCCTCCGTCTCAGATCCCATCTCTTCCGCAATATCCTCCGTCAGAAGCCTCCAGCTCCATCCACCTTCATATAGCCGCCGTCGATCTCCCGTATCGCGCAACCTCCCATCTCTGCCATCAACCAGTTCTTCGCATCCCCCACCATCCGCTTCCTCTCCACTTCCACACGCCGCGTCCCCACCATACCTGAAAAGGTCAATATCGGGGCCCAAGCCCGCCAGCTCCAGACCCGCCGTCTCTGGACCTACGCCTTAACCTTCGGTTGCGTTGCGGGATTTGTAGTTTTAGTTCTCAACAATTTTCAAGATCAATTAGTTTTCTACGTTACCCCAACCGACGCCCTCGAAAAATACACGAAAAATCCTTCGAAAACGAAGTCCAGACTCGGCGATCTGGTTCTGGAAGGAAGCGTGATTCAGCCGGGTTCTTGTAAAGAAATGGAGTTTGTCATTACCGATTTGATAACCGATATTTTGGTTCGGCACGAAGGTTCTCTACCGGATTTGTTTAGAGATAGACATTCCGTTGTGGTTGAAGGATTTGTTAAGCCGTTTACGGAAGAAATTAAAAGGGACGTTTCTTCGAGGAGCGTTTCTACGAAAGCAAGGAGCGGCGACTGTTACTTTTCGGCCACCGAGGTTCTTGCCAAGCATGACGAGAAGTATATGCCTCAAGAAGTTGCAGCTGCCGTTGAGAAGAACAAAAAGATTATTGAAGAAGGAGCCAAGGAATCGATGGTTTGACATTGGTATGACTGACAAATTTTCTTATGGTAATTCTTTGCTTTATTTGGAGGCTTATTCATTTTGATTGGAATTTTTGTAAACTTATCGGCTGAGATTGAATCATTGAATAGATGGAGAATTAATTTTTTAATGGAATTATAATACCACAGAGAGGAAGATGATGAAATCGAAACATTTGAGGCCTTTTACTTTTCTTCTTCTTTTAATTCTGTTGTTGTACTGCCACTAATGTGGTTTTTACTAACTTTGAATAATGCATTTCAGAATTTACATTATTTACTGTTTGATGAATGGATTTGCTCTAGCCTCTTGTCATTCTAATGTTATTGCAGGCAAAGCAAAATGGGTTTTACGCTACTATTGTTAGTTTATTTTATTGCTCTTTGGATTATAGTGTTAGGCAATTGATGCGAAATCAGCTATGGGAACACCATGCCTGTAATGATCAACATGAACTAAACTCATTAGATTTTTGTTTGTTCATATTAACAAGAATTTGTCAAGCTGTTTTATTTCTGCTAAAAAACTAGTATCCGCCACATGCCATTCTAGTTTAACCTAGTATTGTGTATGTTCTATTATTGAGCATTTGCGATTTTCTATGGAGCTTATCATTTATAATTTGAAACAGATTGTTTCATGTTCTTGCTTTCTGCTTTGTTCAATGTTGATTTCTTCTCGGTGATTGTTTCTTAGTAATCTAGTGATAATTCTTCCCATTTTTGGGTGTAGAGGTGGTGATTATACGAGGTTTATGAATCATGGTTATATAGATTGAGTATGGATTTTTCTGTGAATGATGCAAAATTAAGATAAGTAGAATCTCTTTGTTGGGAAGCTTGACTGCCCCTCGTCCTACGTTGTCTTCAACAAATGTAACACGGGATTGGGAACGGTTGATGATTAGTTAATATTTGCTCTGAATGGAGACATTGACTGCCACTCCATCCATCTGGGATTTGATTAGTTATTATTTACCTCATTTTTTTTGGAACATGATATATTAGGTTTCATCTGTACTAGTTTGGTGCTAGATTTATTTTTTTCAAGCTAAGGGGAATTATTTTCTGCTTGAAAGACATCTTAATTCTTTAAAAGGTTCCGATGTATTATAATATTCAATAATTGAAACGCATGGTCGCATAGGCAGGTACTTGGACTTGAACAAGTGGCAATGGTCTCAATTGTCAGAACTCAACGACATATGATCCGAGAAAGCAATCCCACACCGTGATTATATTTACAGCAAACATTTCACCACTTCAATTTCTTAACTTTTGCATGCATGCAACTAGAGACTAATGGTTACTCCACTTGCAGCATTGACATAACGAGGTGTCGTCACGTCCGAGTTCGAAGCCGTATGCCAACCGTGCTTTGTTGGGTCATATTTTTCTCCATCGCCCCAAAGAGCATACGCTTCCTCTCCGTGGACGGCATCGTCTCCAATCGCAAGTTGATTATCAGGCATCCTTTTAAGGGTATAAACAGCCTTATTACCAGAAGAATAAAAGTCGTTGACGCAACATTCCAAGCAGCAACAAAAAAGGCACCTACTATTTGCTTCATGAATTGAGTCCCTCCATTTCCACCATAAAATGCACCCCTTGTGTCTCTTGGTAGTATGAGCCTGCACAGATCTGGCTCAGCCAATAGCCCCGTGAGGAGGCCGCCTAACAAGCCGGCCACCGCGTGCGTGTGGAACACACCGAGAGTATCATCTACCTGTGGAATACAGTATTAAAATTCAAACTTTTCACATATTTTGTTTATCAATGGTAATATAAAACTAATGAATTCTAAACACAAAACCCAGTGGAAATTTTTAATTAAGAGTGGGTTTTCATCTTTTATATTGCTTTTAGGGTGAATTACATGTTTAGTACTCCAATCATCATTTTTGTTCGTTTTCATTATTCAATTATTTATTTTTTCAAAATCATACGTAATGTTATTTTTTATTTCATTTTGATTATCAATTGTTAAAAAAATTAATATAATTATTGATGTGATTTTTTATTTTATTTTTTTAATGATAGTATGGTATTGTCTTATGATGATACTTCATCATTACACTAAACTTTTTAACGATCAAAGAAGCATTAACGTTTCTTTCGTACGGATTCACTAATCTGCAGATATTACTGAAGCAGCTTTCTGGAGTGCCCATCACATTAACTTGAGCAGTGAAGTATTGGGAAAGGGTTCGCAAGCTAAGGACATGGTGAAGCCATAAATGAAACATAAATGAGAAGAAAGGTTTGATTCGGTCACCTACCTGTTGTAGCCAACTGCATTTTTTTGTGAAGAATCATCATTGTTACCCATGGAATACTCCCCGAAAGCATTCCCATTACTATTGCAGCCCACGATTGCACTAATCCTGCGCCAAAGCAAACTTTTTAATGATTTTTTTACCATTGTTCTTTTCTAAACATTTTAACTTCTAACGTTTCGTTTTAGAGAAAAAACCTCTAACGTTATTTGAATAATTACTTTGTCTTTTTTTTGAGCACTTTGACCCCCGATATTTTATTGAGGGTAAAATGCTCCTCTTTGAAGTGTTAATTGTTTGTAACTAATAATTTTCATCCTACGAAAAGACTTTTTACCTAAAATGAAATATTGTGGGCCAAAATACTAAAAAATAATTGTTTAATCAAACTTTAAGAATATTTTTAACATTATACCTAAAAAAATATAATTAAATCTACAATTGTAAAAAATTATTAATTTTAAATTATAATTTTTTAATTGTGGACCTTTGGTAGATGCTCTTCTTGTCTAGATCCAGCAGTGATACTGACTAAACGTTAGATATAATTTTGAGAAAAAAAAAAGTTTAAGAGTCTAAATAGATTAAAGTGAAAGTTTATGATTTTTTTATCCTAAAATGAAAATTTGTGGAATCAAAATACTTAAATAAAAAAAATATGAACAGAAATAACTGCGTTTAATAGTAGCTTTTGTATTTTCCTAAATATATTCATGGTTTAATTTTATAAAAAAAATATAAAAATCGAACCTGCTCCCGGAGTGATGCAAACCAGGCCTGTCATCATTCCCTGAACAGCTCCGATTACCGAAGGTTTCCCGAAGAATATAACGTCGAGAGATGTCCAGACAAGAAGACTGGCTGCCGCACAAACGTTTGTGTTGAGCACTGCCATCGAAGAGTCGATATTCGCTGCATACGGTGCTCCGCCATTGAATCCCGACCATCCCATCCATAATAACCCTGCACCTGCAAGCATTAGCAGAACATTGTTCGGGGGGAATCGTTCCCTGTCGCTCTTTATCCTCGGTCCAACCTGTTTCGATGTTGTACCGATCGTAAAAGCCTCGAAATTTGATAAATTAATACAAACGAATAGACAATAGAGTGATTCATATTACCCAGTACGCGGCCGTGAGACCGGCGATGCCGGATGAGAGGTGAATAACGTAACCACCGGAGTAATCGATGATAACCCAGTGATAGAGAAAGCCTCCACCCCAAAGACTAAAAGCTCCGACCGTATACGAAAATATAAGCCAACGAGGCACGAAAGCCATCCAGGCCCTAATATCCATTCGGCCGAGGACTGAACCAGCTAGCAGAATAAGAGTGATGGCAGCGAAAGTGAATTGGAAATATACGAGCGAAGCCATGGGATAGAAAGGCTCCGTGGTCTCGTCGTTGCCGCTGGTGACCCAGTGCCGACTCTCAGGCACCTTGGATCGGTTGACAAGGTAGTTTTGTCCGAGAGCCGGCGCACCCTTGCCCCAGAAAGGGAGGAGTTCATCCCCGAAGGCCATGCGGTAGCATAAAAGGACCCAACAAATGAGGACGGCGGCGAAGGTGTAAAGAGCCATGAACGCGGAGTTGACGGCCCATTTTTTCTTCACGATGCTTGCGTAGAGGATTACGAGTCCGGGCATGCTCTGAATCCCAACGAGTGTCGAAGCTATCATCTGCCATGCATTGTCCCCTTTGTTTAGCCATGGTGGCACTGCTGGGGAGCTCTCGTTTGCTGTGTAGGCTATCTGATCCATGGCTAAACAAAGAACGAGATCAGATGCATTGCGAGCAAGATTCTTTTTCCTTTGTTACAATACGTGTATTCTTTGGAAGGTTTGTGTGAAGAATTTTGTTTTATTTTTGGGTAAATTACAAAATTTTATCATTCAATTTTCTTCCAATTCTTATTTTAGTTATTAAAATTTAATTTTTTAATTTAATCAATTGACTTTGGATCACATGTTTTGAATACTCGATTGTTAATTTCTCCAATTTTGTGTGACTTGACTTTTTTAATTAATTTTTAATCATATAGGTATCAACTCAAATTTCGACCACTGCTCTTCGAGATTGATCATCACGTCGATTACTATTATCAATAACCATTAGACTCTAAAATTTTCATATCATCTTATTTTAATCCATTAAATCATAATTCAACCTCTGTTTTATCTAGATCTATTACCTCAACTCGAGTAACTACCCCTTAACCACTCACAGCCCATCTTTCATCACCATCATTAATTACCCAAGTTAAATAAAAAAAAACTATTAATCTAACTTAATCTTAATACAACTCAAGATATAATTGTTTTGTCTCATGATATCTTGATAGAAAATGAGACTTGTAAAAGGTCAAAATTATATCGTTCTATCTACAATTTCTCGATACCTTATTAGACTGACTGAATAAATGACATTGATCTCCATTAATCCTTTCAATCATGACCATATATTTTTAAGTCTCAATCGTCGAAGGGCATAGAGATATCCCACTTGTAATAAGAGGAACAAATTTCGTCTTAACTACTTATACTTCATTACATGATTCTTATTATATTCAAGCGTAACTTTTATAGTTGTCTAATTATGTTTAATCACAATATTCTTTATATTGAGAATTATAGTGATTTCATGTCTAAGGATTTAATGACAAATATTTAGAGAATAATTTATAACTTTAATCCATGTATTAATTTAAAGAAGGGTCGATTTAATATTTGGTATTAACAAATACATTTAAATTTCATTTATATTTCATATACATATTCATATCATAAATATCTATTAAATTTTATATTAATCTTAATATATTGTTCTTACCATCATAATAATCTATTATGGATATTTAAAATAATTAATAAG